TTAATTATGTTGAGGTATGTTCCCTCCAATCCAATTCCCTCTAAGACTTTGGAACATAAATGCATGCTGAATTTTGTCAAAAGCCTTTTCTGCATTTATTTAGATGACAATGTGGTTTTTGTATATTGAGCCATCCCTGCATCTCTGGGATAAAGCCTACTTGATCACGGTGAATGATCTTTTTGATGTGTGTCTGTATGCAGTTTGCAAGCATTTTGTTGAGAATTTTTGCATCTATGTTCATCAAGGATATGGGTCTACAGTTTTCTTTTTTGGTTGTGTCTTTACCCAGTTTGGGTATTAGAGTGATGCTGGCTTCATAGAAGGAATTTGGGAGTTCTCCCTCTATTTCTATCATTTTGAATAATTTAAGTAGAATTGGTTGGAGGTCTTCTTTAAATGTCTGGTAGAATTCTGCTGTAAATCTATCTGGGCCTGGGCTATTTTGTTATCTGGTGGCTTATCTTTTCATTATCTTGATAGAATCTTTCACAAAGCGCACATTAAATTTTTAATGATACTCAACTTACTAATACTTTCTTTCATGGATCTTTTTTAGGGTGTCTAGAAAAATATACTTACTTTCAGGTAATTATAATCCAAGGTGTTCATTTCCCTATGACATACACCCTCCCCTATTACAGAGAGAAAGAGAGAGAGAGAGAGAGAGAGAGTAAAATAGTGTACATACAAAAGCGAGAACTCAGTCCAAGTACTCAGCATGATCTATCTGCCTTGATCTCCTACTGCAAACCCTACATGAGTGGACTACACTGACTGAATTTGCCTCCCTTATGTATCATTAATTAGTTCCTGACTTGTTCAGTTAACACAAATACTGTCCAGCAACCATGTTAAAGTTATTACCCTTGGTGCTATTTAGAGGAGGCAATTACAAATTCACAACCTCTAGTAGTAATAGCTACTATTAAGTATCTACTAAGTGTTATAGTCAACACTAAAATGCTTTCCATAAATTTTCTTATTTATATACAGATAATACCTTTCAGAGGATGGTGTGATAAGACTAGGAGGTAGGAATTGGCTAGGCAATTAGGGTAAAAAAGACTCCAAAAGAAAAGTAGCCACTTTCTTGGCTAAAAGTCAAAATGTCCTTGGGCCTCTTAGCAATCTGTTCTAAAGGCCAAAAATGTCAAAATGCCAAAAGTATTTGGGAGCTCTTATCTAATCCCTAAAATATTTTAGGGCTACCTCTTCAGAGGGAAATGTTAGAGTAGCAAAAAGCCCCAGAAAGAAAGAAAGAAAGAAAGAAAGAAAGAAAGAAAGAAAGGAGGGGGGAGGGAGGGAGGGAGGGAGGTATATGGAAGGTGTTAGAAGGGAGAGAGAGTGGGTGTGGATTTGATCAGACACCTATGCATATACGAAATTCTAAAACAAAAAAGAACATAGATTCAGAAGAAAAAAAAAAAAGAATACAGTCATAGTTGGAATTTTCTGCCTATATTTAGTTATTGCTTACTAGCCACCCTGTCTTCTAGCTGACTTTCATGGGAAACTATGTTCTGTAATACCCATTTGATTTTAAATCATGTATACTGATTGTACAAAATACCAGGTTTCATTATGGTATTTTTATGCATGTATGTATTGTCCTTTCATCAGGCCCAAAAATGAGTAAAATAGGTATGATCTGTGTAGCATCACTTCAGAGATTTACTGTCTTGCTTCATCTTCTGAGCAGACACTTTGATGGAGGCATTGCTTCTGAAACAAGGGAGATTTTGCATTATATATGGACTTTACAATACCTAATCACAGATTTATCACTACCTGACTGTAAGCATAGCACATGCACAGGCCTGAGCTTCTATTTGAACTCCATTGCATCCTGGCTGTGTGATCATAGGCAAATTTTGTATCTATATCTGTATGTGTATGGCTAATACTTACTGCAAAGGTTTTTTCTTTAATTTATTTTTGTGGAGGCTGGAGAGGTGGTTCAGTGGTTAAGATCACTGGCTGCTCTTGCAGAGAACCCAGGTTCCATTCTCAGCACCCACATGGCGGCTAACAGCCCTCCATAACTCCAGTTCCAAGGGAATTCAACACTCTTTTCTGACTTCTGAGGGCATTGCACAACATGGGTGCACTTACATACATGCAGGCAATACACTCATACACATAAAAATATTTTTAAATTTTTTAATTTATTTTTGTTTTATGTGTATGTGTATCTTGCTGCCTCCATGTATATAAGTGCACTCATACATTCAATGTCTGGGGAGGCCAGAAGGAGTTGGATCCCCTGGAAATGCAGTTATGGGTAGTCGTTAGCCACCATGTGGGTGCTGGGTCCTCAGCAAGAGCACCTAGTGCTCTTAATCACTGAGCCATCTCTCCAGCCCCTTCTCCAGTGTTTTGGTCTTTCTTTTTTATTAATAAAAGGGCAGAGATGTGTGAATTCTTAATTTCCCCCTGAAAATTTCAAGTTTCTCTGTATAGAATCATGAAGCATCCTTATAAGTTTTGGAATACCCCAGAATTATCATGTTGGTGATTATGTATGTGATCTTTTAGAATGCCCTTGTACTACAAAGTTGACATTTTATTTAAGTAAAATTTGCTTTTTCATATTCATTGTGATGAAACTTGCAATATGAGGTTCTTCAAAACACAAATGAAGATTGTTGTAACATTATTTCAGTATCTTACACATCTAATCAATGTGATAATTCAATGAAACTATTACAGTGTGCCAGTCACCTGGCTGGATTGTGTTTCTCTCAGTCCCCCCGCCCCACATCTATTATCCCTGCACATTCACAGGGCAGGTGACTTCCTCTTCTTTGCAGAAGAAACAGAAACTAGAAGATGCAAACGGCCTCCATCCAGCCACAGGTCTTGCCCCCTCCCAACATGACTTATCCTGTTCTTGTGTCTTTGGTGTATCTAGTCTTATTCTTTCAAAAATTCTCTGCAATATATTAGATGATATTTTCCAAGATTCTTCCATCTGTCCTTCATTATTGACTAATTCCATTTAATTTGAACATGGTCAGATTTTTCCCATTATTTCAAAAAGGTCTTCTCTATACCCTGTCTTCATTTCCTGCCCCACTTACTGACAAGCTCACAACATTCCTGTCTACATTTTTTGTACCTTATATTTATTCCCCAACCTACAACAGCCTAAAGACCATACAAGCTTGTTCCTTTTGAGAAATCTAGACCACCAGACAGCATTTTTAGTCTCATGTCATCCGATTTCCTTTGAGCCATTTCAGCCATTGCCTTTCCATCCCTTGTTATACCCCAGTCTATCCCCATCACTACACTGTTTATGCCTGCCATTTGGTCACCATTTTGCATGCATCCGTTATTGTACATTCCATATTTTCATTTCTTTAGCATTTGGGATTTTCTAAGAGAATATTTTATAAGAACCAGCAGGTTCTGCAAAAGCAAATCAAAAGATACAGAGTTGTAACTTGGAGGTTTGAATAATGACATGATAATAAGAAACTAACATCTTGAGGTAAATGAACAAGATAGCCGTACTCTTCTTGGGCTAATAGGGATCTCACAATCCTCATAGTGTTGCATGTTCCTGTGAGCGAAGAGAAATACCAACTGGAAATACAACTGTTGTTTCAAAGAGACAAGTAGCAGCGGTGTTGGTTCAGGTAACCAACGGAACTAGGCAACACTGACATGGTCATCTTGCTTACAGTAACTGTTGAATTCAGATTTGGTAAACTGCATGATTCCAACAATTATTCAACCTAAAAATATTATTCAAAAAGTTTAAAATATAAAAATACCAAGAGCTATTATTTGAACATATAGGTAGTATGCTACCCCATATTTTGATCAGTAGCCTTAGAGCAAGTATTAGAGTTACCTTTAAAGTTCTTCAGAGGCTGAAGAGATGGACTCAGTGGTTAAGAGCATTGGTGACTCTTTCAGAAGACCCAGGTTCAAATCCCAGCACCCACATGGTGGCTAAGAACTGTCCTTAACTCCAGTTCTGAGAGATCAAGGGATCTGACACCCTCTTCTGATCTCCACGGGCACTGCATGTCACAAGTGCACTTACATACATGCAGGCATAACACTCATACACATAAAACATATAAATAAATATATAAATTTAAAGTACCTTCTATTTTGAAAACAATCTTCTGTATTTCATAAAGTAAATATTCATATAGTTAAATTATATCATGATAGCTGCCTTATTTCCAATACACATGCCGCTTTACTATTAGCATAAATATGCAATTAAAAATGATGAAAAATATCTTAAATTTTTAAGCTTTCTTTTTTCCATCTTTTTGAGACAGGGTCTCCCTATAGCCCCAGCTGGCCTGAAGTCTATATGGAGATCAGGCTGGCCTAGATCTCAGAGATCCACCTCCCTCTGCCTCCCGAGTGCTGGGATTAAAGGTGTGCGCCATCTCGCCCGGCTCCGCCCAACTTCTATGGCCTTTTTCTCATAGGAATTGTGGTGTAGGGGTTTGGGTGTTGGGGATTTCAATATTTGGGTATCTTTTCAGCTACGGTGGGCCCAGGTGCAATGCCACAATCAGGAGGGTGAACCCATCATAACCATAGACCCAGCATGCTTCCTCACACCCACTAGTGACAGCCTCCACACAGCAGTGTTGATCTGCAGGACCCTGAGCCTTCGGCCAGAACCACAGGCCCTGGAGCTGGGGTCTTCTTCCACCAAGGGTCTGAGCACCCACAGGTTCCCTGTCACTTCTCAACCCCCTTCCCCTTCCCCATCACCCTCACTTATGAGGGCATCTTTTTGAGACAGGGTCTCCCTATAGCCCCAGCTGGCCTGGAACTCACTATGTAGACCAGGCCGGCCTTGAACTTACAGAGATCTGCCTGCTTCTTCCTCTCAAGTACTGAGACTAAAGGCATGCACCACCAGGCCAGGCAAAAATCTTAATTTTAATGAAGATAGTAAACACAAATTTGGTCTGGCAATGGTCAATAGAAACAGGAATGATTTAATGTATTCATCAATTTTTAATAGGTTAAAGATGCAATAAAGTTTGGGTTAGTGTTAAGTCAGGAAAACTAGAAATGAAATTCTTTTTTTGCTTTGATTTATAAAGAAAGAAAATTTTGACGACAAATAATTTACATTCGGATCTTCAGACAGGTAAAACCTCAGGAGCTTTGAACTCAGCGTATTCTTTTGAAAATTATTTTATACAGATTCATGATATGTTAAAATGCTATTTTTACTTCTTCCATTTATTTTATGTCCTTAAAGGTTCTTGATAAGACAGGATCCTCAAAGAAAAAAAAGGAAAGAAAAAGAAAAAGAGATAGAGAATTTAAAAAATAATGTTAGCGATAATTCAGTTCATATTATAATTTCAGTCATTCAACATTTCATACGAGTAATTTTTTAACTTAGGTTCTGACATGCACAAGAATAACATGTCAGTTCTCTTTTAGGAATTTAATGTCATTTACTATACAAACACCATTTTCACAATTTCTTCTTAGTTGCTTCTTTTTCTCTGGGAAATGAGGATATATTTATCATATATTTATCATATAAAATTTTTTCACGCTTATTTTACCAGTTAAAAATAAAGGACTGTTTCTAGCCATGTGTGTCCTAAACATTTTTTTTTCTAGAACATTTAAAACATTAAATTGGGACTGGAGAGACGGTTCAGTGGTTAAGAACTGGCTGCTCTTGCAGAGGACCTAGGTTCGGTTCCCAGCACTCAGCCAACGGTTGTCTGTAATTCCAGTTCTAGGGGATCCAATGCCCTCTTCTGCCACGGGTGCACTTATACACATGCAGGCAATACACTCATACACATAATGAAATAAAAATAATGAATAAAATATTTTAAAATGTTATGTTGAAAAGTTATCTTTCTGTAGTTCATAGTTAGTTCACTGTTTGGCACCGTTCATTGTTGTCAGGACAGAACGCTGTGTGCTTTGCTACTAGCTTCTAATACTCAGAGTTGAACATAAACACAATTTCCATTTTCTGTTGGATTTTCAAAAAGGTCAGAATTCTGAGATTATGAAGTGATTTATATTTTATAGTATTCCTTAAGAAAAGAAAAGAAAATGATGGGGAGAGATGTTTCTCAAGTGTTACCCACACAAGAGGCAGCGAATGAAGAGGATGAGAGTTTGCTAAGTAAATATATATGTGTAAAATGTATTTTCTAATTGCTAAAAAAATGACAGGATTGTTTTTCATTTGTTAGGTAATAGGAAATATTTTAATTGTCATATACAGAACACTTAAGTGATTTCAAATCCTTATATAAAAATATCCTTATATAAAAATATGGTCCTGGAAATAAATACCATGATTTTAATCACTGCTATAAACATGTTCTTGAATGCCGGGGGCGGGGAAGGGATGAGAGTTTTTAAATTTCAAAATATATGAATCTAATTTTCACATTTAAATATTGTATCTAGGGGCTAGAGAAATGTCTCGGGGGTTAAGCGCACTGGCTGCTCTTGCAGAGGACCCAGGTTCATTTCCCAGACCCCAACTCCAGTTCCAGGGGATCCAATGCCCTCTTCTGGCCTCTACGGGCATTGCATGACACAGTGTGCTCACACAATACACTCATAGACATAAAATAATAATAAATAAAGTTATCCAATTGTCAAAGTATGACAAATATCACGGTAAATAGCGAGTTAACCCCAGCAAACACAAAAGCTTGTTTATAATATTTCCAAGAGTTTTAAGTATAAAACATGAAGGGAATACAATTTGCCTTCCCAAGTAACATAAATCAGAGTACTGGAGAACATAATATTTCTGAAATAATACAATTTATACAATAGTGAATTTCCTGAGTAACATCCTGACAAAAAAGTGGTTGTAGGTGTGTATTCTTACCTTTCTCTTTGAATACATCTTGGATATTTCAATTGCCCCCTGTCACATTGCACTCTAATATCAGACCCAAAATCGGAAGACTCGGCTGTGTATGAATCTCTCTTACAAATAAATGTAACATACTCGCCATGGAGAATATATGGTCTGTTATCAAAATTCCATTTAAGCAGTAAATTGTTTTTTTCCATTTCACCAAATGATAATGTGCAAGGCTCTGGAAAAATGTAAAAGAAGAAAACTGTGTTGACACACACTAGTACAAACAGTATTTATGTTGCCACATGGGATGACCTTAAAATTCCAGAGAGGAAAAGTAAGTTAGTTACAATTAATATTTGAATCAGAAAGTATGTTTACCCATACCTCCCTAAAGGAAACAGTGTGGCATTAACTTCTCTGGTCAAAGAAAAAAATATGTCCTGCTAGTCACTTAGTTTTATCTCATTAGGTTTTTCAAAGACAGAAAAGAATCAAACAGAAACAAATGCATTTTTTTTTTCAGGAACATGAACTGTTATTAACATTCATTGAAATTTTGTAATAAATTCATTTTCCTTTTTCCTCTTCAGAAAGTTTAAAGAAAGGGTCTGGGATGCGGCTTAGTGATAAGGTTCCAAAATGTGTAAAGCCTTGTCCTGTGCTCAATTCCTAGCACTGCCTCCCAAAATAATATATATAACATAATAGTAACAAGATAAACCATTAACTACTAATACTGTATAGATGTACAAACAATCTAGAGTCTCAAAACTAACCCAAACTTTTTAACCTATCACCATCCAAAGCAGTTCACAATTTTCTCTTTTAAATTTCCAGTTAAGGAGTATGAATATTCAATTGGTAGTCAGAGTAATCCAAGAGACTCCCTGAATCACACAGGCTGTGACTATAGCCCATGATTTCCTCCCAGAAGACAGGACATGCTTCAGACACAGGACTTGGAGCAACTGAGCAGGAACACACTTGGAAGCCTCCTTCTCAAAGACTAGCTCCCATAGTATCAGAAGCTACTATGCAAGCTGCCAAGATAGAAAACCAGTTAGTGGTCCAACCCAGCTGTAAAGTCTATGAGCAGCAACGATGTCTGGCGTAGCAAATTATCTCTTTGGGGGCAGTAGTGGCACTTTTATTCTGGATAACAAACAGCTTTCTAATTTTAAATTATAAGCATTGAAAGTATTAATGTGCTGTTTCACAGATGTAGTAAAATAATGCAGGACAAAAATATAAACATACAGGACATGAAGTATCTTTGATTTTTTTTCTCATGATAAAAAAAAGATGCTAAAATTTTTTCAAATGTCAAAATACTTAGAACTGGAGTTTCTTGTTTCTCCTTTACCTCCTAGATGACACAGAACTAAGGAAAATAATTTGCTTCAAGATTTCCAGCATTACTAACACAGCATGTCACCACTAGACTGGAAATATATAAACATATACATTTATTCAAATATTTTCCAAGAATTCATAGAATATCTGTATGTCAAATGTTATATGAGAAATACTACATACAATACAATGAATAAAATTTATTTTAAAGGTTCTTTTTTATTTAAAATATTTTATTATTTTATTCTATGTGTATGTGTATTGCCTGCATGTATGTAAGAGCACCCGTGTCATGTAATGCCCTTGGAGGACAGAAGAGGCCATCTGATCCCCTGGAACTGGAGTTACAGACAGTTGTTAGCTGCCCTATGGGTCCTGGGATTCAAACCCTGGTCTTCTGCAAGAACAGTGTTCTTAACCGCTGAGCCATCTCTCCAGTCCCATTTTAAAGGTTCTTTAGAATCTTCAGGATGTCTGTAAAATAGTTTGTTTTTAATGAGGTCAATGGAACCGTAGTTTATACTGGTATTGTTTTAACCAACCTGAGGCTTATTTAAAGCGGACTCACAGATTATTAAAAATACTCATAGGCTTTCTGCTTTCATCTGTGGCCAAGGAGCTTATGTCAAACCAGCACTTTTACTAAGAAGTAGAAAGTTTGGAAAACTGACACACACAGAAGTATATTGGGGTACCAGAGAATATTCAAGGCAGTTGATGGCTTATGTACTAGAGAAAAAAATCATTTAGTGAGTCCAAGATTGCATATGCTGTGTTTGCTCCTGGGTGTTTTTTTTTTTTTTTTTTTTATTCTCAGTTTAACTAAAAGACTAGGTATAAAATGACCAGTAATAGGCAGAGAACAAGAAGATTTTTTTGACAATCTCATGGGGCTAAGAATAGAAAGAGAAACAAGCATGACTCTGCCAAGGCAGCCAAGGCTTGAGGAACTGCTAACTCGGAGGGCTGGGAAGTATAGAGAAATGAGCGTGCTGTTCAACAGATTTTTGAATTATTCATCAATATGTGACTGGTGCAGAAGGATGAGGAGTCATGCCCATTTGACAAAAAGCTACCTGATATCTGGCAATCTTACATATACCATCATCTGTCTAGAAGGAGGTATACACACAAAATTCAACATAGAAGCATTGAAGGGTGATGTTCTATGCATAAGGACAAACCAATGTCTGAAAACAGTTACAGTCTCATTTCCAACTGGATGGAGACCAACTACCTTGATTCTAACCTTCAGCCAGAGGAAGAAATGACCATTCGTGGAGTAAGTATAAGCAGTTTTAAGCTCCTAAAATTATCCACATAGAACATTTAATATTCAGTCAATTACTATATAAGTTACAGGAAATGAGGCTAGAAAATAAAAGTAGGTCCTACAAGACAGTACAAATTTTGGACTTTGTAAATCAAACCTAAAGATAAGTATGATTACTGTGGTCAAAAAATTGAAGTCAAGATGGAATTTTTCATTAGAAACTCAAATTTTAAAAGAAAGTTTAAAATGTACATTCTATAAATTAAAAAAGATACTAGCCAAAATTGTCATAGTGCCAGAGGCATTATGTAGGGGGGGGGAATTACATCAATGATCTTACCCAGTGTTGGTCTTTGTATGCTATAAGATGAGCTCACTAGTGTAATACTTGCATGGCTATTGTGGAGTAACTAAGCACTAAGGATTTGAGGCGTGTTCCATGGGATGGAATTTCATGCCTGATGACTATAGTCCTGATCAAAAGGCCCATGGCTGGAGAGATCACAGGCCCTAGGGCAGAACCTGCTACTGTGGGATGCTCCTGATACAGGTCAGGGAAGATCTTTTTGCAGTGGGCAGCAGTTAATTCAGAGACTCGTAACTTGTCGAAGTGCAGAGAATAAGGGACTAAGTGCTCAGTCCTAAATGGATCACATATATCAAGCCCTCCCCCTAAAAGTTCAGGAAACATCACAGAAGAAGGAGGTGGAAAGAATGTAAGAGTCAGAGCACAGAGAAGACTGCTGTGGAATGCTGACATAGCTCTTGCACTCATGAACTCACAGCAGTTGTATTTAACTGCACAAGACCTACACAAGCTTAAACTAGCCAAACTTCCAGCATATATGGGGGAGATGATCTACAGCTCCTACCCCTTAATGAGGAGCTACTGCCAGTTGATAGCTGTTGGGGGCAATGGGGAATAATTCTTTTTGGAGAATGTGGCCACTGGTAGGATTCCCATGGTCCAGTGGATGGCCCCACATTATGCACAAATGATCAGAACTAACTGGATTTAATGGGTTATCAAAACAGAAATGGAGGACGGAAGTTGGGAGAAGGATGTGTTTGGGGCTATGAGAGTTGAAGGCACTAGATATAATCATACTTCCTTGTACATTGTATGAAATCTGAAGAATAAGGAAAATATTTAAAGACATTAGTTAAAATTAAGAACTGAATAGATTAAATCATATCACTCATAGGTAAAGTGAAGATTACGGAGGTCAGAGAAAACCATTAAAGTGAAAAGAGATGATACCAAAAAAATCAATAGAAAATTATCAAAGTAGAGAGAAAATAAGAGGAAAGAAAATGTAGATTTTAAAAGATGAGAAATGCTGCAAAAAGCTGCAATATGTCGTGTAATCCTGGAAGTGATGAAGAGACATGATCTAATAAAAGTAATTTCTTACTTTTATAAAGATTTTTAAGCATAGTAGGTAAACATTTCTACAACTTATGAAAGACATCAAGCACGTCAAGGGCCAAGAAGAACTAACAGCTTTAAGGGTAAATAAAGAAGCCATTGAGGCCAATTCAAACAGCCTGCTGAGAATAAGGGCAGAGAGGAATCTCTAAAAGAGCATAGAGCAAAATATGTTGCTGTTTTTAAACAAGTACCATTAATAAATGGCATGTACAGATTTAACAAATCTATGAAAACCAAAAGAGGATAAAACACAATTATCTTAAAGTACAGAAATAAAATAAGGGTCAAGATAGAATTTTACATCAGACAAAAGCATCTTTTTTTCTGGCTTAAAAGTATCTTTTGAAAGAAAGTAAAAGTATTTATAGACAAAGGCTTGGAAGAGAAAGAAAATAGTTTCAGGACTAAGTAAAATCATTCCAGTGAAGAAAGAGTGAGGAGCAAGTACACTGACAAGTATATAAATAATTCCAGAGGATTATTGCCATTCTTCTTGGTTCCTCACGAGATAGAACATTGTTGCTGGAAACATTACACACTTAGGATACAGGACAAAGAAATCAAGCTGGAACTGAACTGGAAAGAAATTTCCTTGCCCTACTGGCTTGCTTTTATAGTCCAAGATGCTATTCAGGCTCCTAGGAGGGAAAGGGTATCAATGGTCTTAACCAGAGAAATGAGGTATTGACAGAACGCTTAGTGTAAATAAAGGGCCAGAATATTATGATAGAGGAGGGAAGAATGTAAGAGCAGAAAATAAAGAAAATGGCTGCAAAATGTCATCTCAAGGGCAAGACATAGTCATTGCAGTAATAAGCTCACAGCAGCTGTGGATTTCTGTGCTGAGTCTGCACAAGGATGGGCCTATCAACAGGCAGGCATGGATGAAGGAACAGCTCATGGGTCCTACCCCTAAAAGGTGAATTTGCTACTGATACATTGAGAGGAGCAATCATTGTCTTCAGCTGTGTACACACTGATGCCTCTACCAGGCTTCAATGTAGAGGTCCAATCCAGTATCACACAGATGTACCTAGTTAAACTAAATAGTTTACATAACAAAACTAAAAGCCACAAATCTGGGAAAAGGATTGGTAGGGAGAATAGGGGGGGAATGATAAGGGTGAAATAAAGATAAAAGAGAGTGGGGGAAGAGAGTAATCAGAACACACCTATA